CCAACAAGTGAGCATCCTACAATCATCAATATCTCGTAGAATTTTGGAAGATACTGCACATCAACTTACAGGGGAGTGTTCCAAGGCACAATAGCTGCTGTAACTCCGTAGGGTTCTCGGCGCGTATACGAGAAGCCCCCCCTTTCTCCCCCTTGATCCCAATCTGCACTTCGTCCGTCTATCTTATCAGCCCAGCCAGCGAAATGCCTGATCCATTCGCAAGCCATTGGCCCGAGCTGACCACTTGTTGTCGCTAGTAGTGCTCCGACATCGTTGCCTTCGAGGATGCCAAAGATTTCGAGATCGCGTTCGATCAAATCAGCAAGTTTCAGTAGAAGCTGTCTTCTCTTCGCTGCTGCAATCTGCCTCCATATTCCCTGATATGCGCGGTAGGACGAGGCGACCGCAGCGTCAACATCTGCTGGTGTAGCTCCTGAGATAACACCAATAGTTTCTCTGGAATACGCGTTCTTGATGTCGAGTGTATGGCCTTCGAGGGATGGAATGAATGTATTATCAATGAAAAGACCCGTAGAAACTGAGACTTGTTTGCCCTCCGGACCTCGGATAGTCAATGTTGATGCCGCCATGTTGATGTAATTTTCATACAGTTCTTCTTGACGCCTGAATTAAGTCGCCATGAATGGGAATTTAAATATGATATCTGGTCTCATAGGTCTAATTCGCCCATATTACACCGCACAGCCAAGCCTGCAAGATGATGTGAGGCAGGTCCTGACTAAAACTGCCTAAACAGGAATAGCCAGGCTATATGTGCCTGAAACGGAATGGTCCAAGCTTAATCGGCGCGAGTTTGGAATACTAGCGCATGCCGCATGCTAGGACTGCAGCAATCAGGGCTTAGTCATCAGGGCTACACATACGTGCCATATGTTCACTTTCTTCTAGATTAGATGGTTGTGCCATGCGCGAATCGTCTTAGCGTGCAGTGAGCTCTGGAGCGGTTGTAGGCCGATCCACAAGAGCTGGCTATACATAAGAGGATGGATGAGACGCTTGTTCTGCACTTGCTTTGTCCTGCCGGATCCTACTTCAATTCTTCTATTCTGTCCATCTCTGGAGAAATATAAGCGGACCAATTCGATCAACCACAACGCACACGCCATGGCTCTGGATCGTCTAAAGCAGGCAGCGAGCCACGTGACGGGCATTGGCCGTGCTCCACATCCGCTCGATCCTTTGATCGAGACGGAAATTGAGTATGCCGTTGCCATTATCAAGAGAGAGCACAGCCATATTGCCTTCAATGCAATTACCCTGTATGAGCCACCCAAGGCGGTCATGCTGAAGTGGGTCAAAGACCCGGAGCACACTCCTCGCCCGAACAGAGTCGCGGACGTTGTTTGCATCGGGAAGGGCAGCAAGGTGTTTGATGGTCTCGTAGACCTGACAGATGGCAAGATACTCAAATGGGAAGAGACGCCGGGTGTTCAGCCTTTGGTTAGAACCCTATCGAGAAACCCTTTCATCGGCGGCACTGACCGTGATTAGATTACTATGGAGGATCTTCAGATGGTTGAGTCGGTTATCCGGAAAGATCCAAAAGTCATTGAGCAATGTGGTATCATTGGTATCCCACCAGAGGACATGCATAAGGTTTATTGCGACCGTGAGTACTCCGTGCTGCACGTCTCTTGCTGATCCGAATTGCTAATGATTACCAGCTTGGACTATCGGCTATGACGAACGATTCGGTTCGAACATCCGACTTCAACAAGCTTTGATGTACTATCGTCCACACCCAGACGACAGTCAATACACCTATCCGTTGGATTTCACACCAATTTATAATGCCGACACGCAGGAGATTATACATATAGACGTTCCACCTATTCGCCGGCCATTGAATAAAGCCCCACCAAACAACTACCATGCTGCGGCAATTGAGAAAGAAGGTGGCTTCCGTACAGACTTGAAGCCGATCAACGTCACGCAGCCTGAGGGCGTCTCATTTTCACTCGATGGCAGAGTTATTAGCTGGCAGAACTGGAAACTACATGTAGGCTTCAATTACCGCGAAGGCCTTGTTCTCTCAAATATCACGTTCAATGACCAGGGTACTGAACGCGATACTTTCTGGAGATTATCTCTCGCTGAAATGGTGGTTCCGTACGGAAATCCAGAGCATCCTCATCAACGAAAACACGCCTTCGACTTAGGAGAATATGGTGGGGGATATATGACAAATTCTCTCAGCCTTGGCTGCGACTGTAAGGGAGCCATCCATTATATGGACGCAGCGTTTGTGAACAAAGCTGGTGCTGCTAGCACTATCAAGAATGCCATCTGTATCCACGAAGAAGATGCAGGCATTCTCTTCAAACACACCGACTTCCGCGACAAATCCGTCATAGTGACGCGTGCCCGCAAGCTAGTTCTTTCTCACATCTTTACAGCCGCAAATTACGAGTACTGCGTGTACTGGTGAGTTAGATCTTAGTCCTGAGGCTGGAAGTAGACTTCTGTTGACATCTTTAGGATCCTACATCAAGACGGTACCATTCAGCTGGAAATCAAACTCACTGGCATTTTGAACACATTCCCCTGTAACGAAGACGAAGATCTCCATGGCTGGGGCACACAAGTCTATCCAGGCGTTAACGCGCACAACCATCAGCATCTCTTTTGTATGCGTATCGACCCTAATATTGATGGCCCTAACAACACTGTCTACATGGTCGACGCTGCGCGTGGCTCTGGCGAAGTTGGCTCTCAAGAAAACAAGTACGGCAATGCTTTCTACGCGCTTAAGACGAAGCTAGCAACGCCTGAGCAGGCCGCCACTGACTACAATGGCGCTACAAGTCGCACATGGGAAATGTGCAATGAGAGCAAGATCAATCCCTATTCTAAGAAGCCCGTTTCCTATAAGCTTGTTAGCCGCGAAGTCCCCGAGCTGCTTCCGAAGCCAGGCGGTCTCGTCTGGAAGCGTGCCGGCTTCGCACGACACGCCGTGCACGTCACCAAATACGATGATGGACAGCTGCATCCGGCAGGACGCCATGTTCCACAAACCTCCGGCGAAGTCTCTCAGGGAGTTCCACAGTGGATCGCGGCCAATCCTACCGTCGATATCACCAACACTGATGTCGTGTTGTGGCATACCTTTGGTATCACGCATTTCCCTTCGCCTGAGGACTTTCCTGTGATGCCTGCAGAGCCAATGACGTTGTTGCTGCGGCCGAGGAATTTTTTCACAAGAAATCCGTGTCTCGATGTGCCACCGAGTTACTGCAGTGTGCCAAGTGGCGTGAAGCAGGGAGGTGCGCTGGTGGACAAGTTGAGCAAAATGGCGTTTGGCGGAGATCAGAGTGGGACAAAAGGGTGCTGTCAGAAGTAGCACCACATCGCCAAAGCGAGAACAGCGGCAATCAAACCGACCGTCAAGGTCGTGTAACTTACGGCCGAATGGGACTACTTGTTCAACAACCGGAATGAATAGAGTAAGCTAGGATGCAGGATAGGTAGTGGGCTACAGACATTCGCAACGTCGTGAAACAGTAACTGGATTTCCCTATCACGAGCAGAGATGATTGGCATTACTGACGAGCGTGCGATATCTGATAGTTAGAAAAATCTCTTCGACATATGGATGAACACGCCTTCTTTCCTTACAAAATAACGAGAAGGCTGGAGGCCCAGGAACGTCTGCTCTAGAAGGTGATGATTACCGCGGCGCATTAATCACGGAACTAACATCGCACCAAGACACTGGCATCGGAGTCATGCGAGCGAACAAACGCGGGGATGGGGCTGGCAACCATGGGATCGCCGGATGGACGCTTTCCGTTCTCAGGTTTCCCTCTGGTACATTCCACCTCACACCTTCGAGCAACAACCGTCGAATCTATGCTGCAGCTAAGCCGTGATACACACAGTCAGGAAGAATGATGACCATCGTCTCGAACAAGGGCATGCGCGAGAAGCGGGGATATGTTTGCGATACTTGTGGGAAAGCGTATAAGAGGAGCGAGCACTGTATCCGCCATCAACGCAGTCACACCAACGAAAAGCCATTCAAGTGCAAATTCTGCCATCGCCGTTATGCGCGAAAAGATCTCGTCGTTCGTCATGAGAAAACTCTCCACAACCTCGTCACCCGCCCGCAACCCTCCGTCAATGATCGCAGTCATTCCATAGCCTCGTCAGTGATTGAAGAGTCACTAGTAACTATGGCGGCATGTGAAGGCCCAACAGATGCGCATGACGAGACTGATGCCAACGAGTCTCTGCCAAATGACTCCATAGCCGTCGTTCCATCAGACAGGGCTAGCTCAACGACGTCGGCAACGTCCTGCGCTTCCCTTCCAGTCGACCAAACATCGACGTACGCCTCAACTAGCGATATACCCCTTTACTTGGAACAAACACATGATATTCACTTGATTCCCTTCAAATTTGCGTCTCCAAAACACATTGCGCTGCCTCTTGAAGGCCGTGGAACAGCGTCTGTCAATGATGTTCGTTCGGTAGATGGGAGGACAAGCCATTTTGACTTCACTGAGCCCTTCACCAGCTTTCCGCTTGATTTAATGCTACTCGTAGAAGCGGATTGTTCTCCTACTTCTGGAGATTTGCTGTCCCTCCATTCGTGCATTCAAGATAACAGCAACCCAATCCATGCTGATATGTTCGGTGAGGGACTGACACCGCCATACACTATTCAGGATGAGCAAAGGTGCACCAACGCGCTGAATCGTCCATCCCCAAACGATACATTCAGAGGCCTTCCCAGCATAACCAAAGCTCCTCATTGCAAATCACATTGTCCACAAATAAATGACACGCATCGGACTAATCTACTGTATACGGTACGAACTCGCTGCAGGGATAATGGGAGCCACTCTTGTAAATTTCCCACCCCTTCTGCGTTGAGTCGGTATATGCGAACATTTTTTGATTCATTTTGCGTACATCTGCCTTTCATACACATTTCGACATTGGACTGAGATAAGACTCCTTTTTCCCTTCTTTTAATAATGTGTGCTATCGGGGCACTCATGGGACTTGAGCAAGACGTGGCAACTATGCTTTCTGCACAAGTTGAGGAGCTTGTGCAAGCGGACGAGCAAGACTCCCTCGATTGTCACAGACTGGATCGATATGAATACATCATGCCACCTTCAGAACAGACTGAGCGAACATCTCACGCACATCCCATATGGCTACTGCAAACGAAGCTGCTCCTCATTTGGTTTAGGGCGTCCTGTGGAAACCCTTATGTCGTCACAGATGCACTAAAGGAATTTGGATTTTTAGTAAACGTGAGTATTCACTGTCCCATGCAGGTTTCAATACCACTGACAATGAAAGCAGGCCTATTGGGACAGAATGTCCGACGTTCGGGCCGATCCGCACTTCGATAAACACCGGATATCCCCCTACTCTGACTGGCATTCATGGTGTCAGTTTGAACTTACGAAGAGATACGGATAGATATTTCAATATGCCCTTATCTTACCAAGCAAGAGTTATACTTACTTAAGTAGGCTCTTGCACTCCATATTCATACTAAGTAATCTGTTGACCGCTGCATATGGAGCTACGCCTGGTTACCTCTGTAGAAGCACCAAGTCAAAACGCTAGAATAGGAGTTGTGAACTGTACTAGCAAAAATAATTAAAAAATTATTCATCACCCATATTTATGACAGTTTTACACCCGTCTTTAAAAACCCATCACAATCTGACAAAGGTAGCCTCCGCCCGCTATAATAGCACCCCAGCAGAACGAGAGAGTTACTCATTAAAACTTGAGAGGAAGACTCACTAAAAGTGAACGAGAGAGATACTCATTAAAACTAGAGAGAG